TTAGTTATTAAAGTTTTAATTATAATACTACTGATTTATTTTATTTAGTATTGGTAAAGTAAATACATATATACACAACTAGTAACAAATAGTGTTACTACTATATATATATATATATATATATATATTACTTTTTAAATTATTTTTAGTACTAGTGTATCATTGAGTCCCATTGTTAGTCACAACCTGGCACAGTGATCAGTGGCAGAGCACCTGGAATGCTAATGCTTAAACTGGAGCTATTTATGGCCGTTAATTAATTTTAACTGAACACTGCTAGGTATATTTAGTAACACTAAATGCTTTAGAGTTATTTTTTTTAAAGACATGAATGTTAGAATGTAGTTGTTAATTACAAAGGCACAATGTTTCAGAATAAGAAGCATAACTGTAATGATAATTTGAGCTGTACTTTAGAAATTATTTCAAATGTTTTAACATACTTTTAGTGTATTATGAAGTAACAAATATTTTATCAACCATTGTGTTCTATTTTTGCTATAGCCGCTAAACAGACATATGTTAAAACATTACATTACCAAACAGAAGAAAATGGAACAAAAAACACTTTGTTGTTTTTTTATCTATTTTTTGGTTAAATCATTTGTCTGTACTATAACCAATGAATCTCCTCGACTGTGCTGCATAGTTTCAGTGTGCTTATCTGTTTGCAGATTTAGATATTTTATAAACTTTTGTAATGATTTGAAATAAATTTGATATGATGGCAGAAGGCACATGGAAGAAGTACATTGTAAAATACCTGATTGTAGACGTCCATGAAGTACATCAGCTTGAGAAAATATTTTAAGAGTTTTGACTTTAACCTCTTATTTTTAGTAGATTCTTTCAGAGTTTTACAGTTTTGGTTTAAAAAGCCTTCTTTATTATTCAATAATACTGATAAACTAATATGAGAACATCTTTTTTATATTCTAGAGATGAAACATTGAATAATGGGGAAGAAGTAATTGACAGTTAATTTCTAAACAAATGCTAGTTTTCATCAGGGGATATTTTATGTCTAATGTCATATTTTGATATTACTGTGACAAAAATATGTTTGTGATATCTATCCTTAGCTATACTGCTATCAAGGCTGATGTCAATTTAAATCTTTAAGGTGCCATAAAATGCTGATTTTATTATAATTGTTAATTTGTGTGTGTATGTGTGTGAAAGTCTATTACATATAGTTTATATCAAAATTGGTTTATTTTTGTCATAATTATATTAAAGAATCTGTGATACTGCATCTTGATATAATTTTTTGAATGAAAAAATATTAGACTTATCATAATTTCTTACACTGAAATAATGAAAGTAAGCTTTAAGATGTGACAATTGATGAGCAAGATATAAGTAACTATAAATCAGGTGTGTCTATGTGTATCTAAAAATAAACCTGTTACTGGCAATGAAAAGAGTGAAAATAAGTTTAACATTAGTTATATTTTTTATGGTTCTTACGATTTTCTCGTCAAAATGTTTATATTATTTTATAAAGAAGTGTTTAAGAAATTATTCATTACATGTGAGTAATGCATGCATACCTCTAACCTCACAAGAATAACGTATTTACATTTTTCAAATCTTTTTCAACACATATAACTGAAAACTTAATCTTAAATTTCGTGCTTCCATGTTACATAAAATAGAAATATTTCAAGCACTTGTATATGTTTCCATTGCACTAGAAAAGAATTAAAGAGAGAATGTCTTTTGGATAGCCACTTTGAACTTGTATAATCCATGTACCATGTAGAATGCATTGTTTAAGATGAAAGTTAAGCATTATTCGATTCATTTTTAAACATATGGTTCCAATTGCTGCTAATTTAAAAGATTCGTTATCATTATAACGTGATTATTTTTGCTTACTACAGTGATCACTATGTAGTTCTTAAAAAACCTTGTAAGTAACAGTGAGTAACTTTGGCACATATAGATCATCTTATGTGACTGACTAGTGTTTTTTGTAGTTTCCTTTGTCTTAACTTCCAAGTTTGAAAGTTGTCTTCTAAGATTAGAAATTTGGTTATTCATAGTCATATACAAAGCAAATTGTTAAGGTGTTAACCAGTAAGTTACGAGTTACTTGGTCTGTCTTTTGATAATGTGACCTTTGTGCAGATTTTTGTTGATTCAAGTCTTCTGAGAAACCTTTTACGTTCGTAAGTTACGATTGGAAAAATTACACATAGCGTAAACATCCTGTGGGCATTTGAACATACAAGTGGGTCACATTTTTAAATATCTTTCCATCTGAGTGTCCACATATGCAATTTTGCCTGGAGGTTTTTTGGTCACTCCACACAAAATAAAGATTTCAGATTAGTCAATACTTCATTGTTCTCCAACCTAAATCAGGAATAATATGTATGGTTCATACTGTTCATTGATGGTGGGCTGATCTGTTTTCTATCTCATTTAACCAAATGGAAAGGTATAGTACTTTCTGTAATGTTGCTCATGCCTGTCTGCTGCATGTTTTCGTTATTGCACTGCCTCATTTTTGTCCTTGGTTTTGAAGGCCAAATATGAACACTTCCTTACATCTCAGCAGCTACTCCATACCATTGAGAAACTTTTCTATGTGTACTTTCTTTTTTTGCATACCTTGATGATGAGAATATTAAACACACAAAAAACTATAGCTGATAAGCTGAGTACAGACATCTGAACAGAGTCTGGTTTATTACTTTTTGTAGCAGTTCACAAATAGATAAAAGATATTTTCAGGGTCAGGGAAACCTGTTATTGCTTGCATATCTCTTTATCAAGCTAGCAAACTATCATTGCCTTGTAGAGATATGTTCAAGGTTGTTAAGTAGTTGTGTCATCTGACTGGAACAATGAATGTCAAAAAGAACTGAACAATCATAACAGTTGAGAGACCTTTGTAGAATACCTGAAAAGCTGAAAAATGTTAAGTGCTAAAATTAAGGCTTTAATTACAGGCATAGTTAATACAAATAGGAATCTTTACATGTGATCCAAATACAGAGATTAGCATGCTTGAGATATTTTAGACAAACATTCATCCCAATTACCCCTTTAGTTATGCTGTATGTGTTTGGAAAATTTACATTTGAAGTTGTTAAGATTTTTATATGATCTGCAGTTACTGTCATGCTTAGCAGCACAGACTGTATTCCCACTGCAGGTACAGTTGCTCTATTCAAATAGTGGGAATAATACCCAAGTTGCATGATGTTTTGGTGGGCGTGTAGCTTGGATCTTTGGTCCAGTTCCTTTTAAGCATTCCAATCATGCTTTTTGCAATACTTTTACATATTTATATGATTAAATTTACTATATAGTAGCATTAGGAACAACATAGATCAGTGGCACTTTACCCCAAATGTCATTTTAACATGCACTTCAAGACTAGTGAGTTTCAGATTCTGCATCATACTGCTATTCTATTTCGTCAGGTACATTGAAATCTAAAGGTGAGAGATTTAATTGATTAATCAATATATCAATTACTTATGAGTATCAATTATGTTGATTAATGTCAAGTAAACTATTTGACTAATAAAGTTACAATTAATCAAAAATCACAATTTAAGGGTTTCTGGTTAGATTCCCATTGTCACCAAACCTGCTCACCCTGTCTTTGTTATGGCACAACTACTAAACTATAACTAATATTTACCTTCTGATGATAAGATTGGCAATTGTCTGGCAGTACCTGCCACCAGTTTTTTTCTCGCTGCATTTGTTAACTAGAGGGAAGACAAATGTCTGAAATTACCTGCCCCCATCCTTTTTCTTCTTTTTGAACTGCATACTAGGGAGGAAGACAACTAGTTGCCAACATTTTTTGCTTTGATTTTATGTACCATAGTTTGAGGAAAACAGTAATAATTGATTAATGAAATGTTATCAATTAATGGAGCCATTGATTAATATATTAGCAAACACTACTAATTGTCCAGTTCCATTGATATCTGTGGGAAATATTTGGAATACTGCTTGATTTAGCATTGTTTCATAGATGAATGATGCAATCAATCTTAGTCACTTGATTCTTTTAAATAATGGAAAATTTCATAAAGAAAACTAGTTTGAAAGCTTCATATTTGGTCATTTAGAGCTATCATTTATGTGATATTCAATCTGTTAAAGTGCAGTGAAATAAACAGATGAATTTTAATAAAATATGTAAAAGTTAAGAATGATCTGTGAAATTTATATGCTTAACTTGTCCAGATACCTTTAAAGATATGAATTTTTAAAAATAAATTCAGTAGAAATGTATGTAATAACACTGATTACACATCTAAACAAAGTTTAGGCTATCTTCTTGTATGTGTTGACCACAGTATGTGACCTGATATTATAACCTCAGTGGATATAGATAGTAATTATATGGTGAGTCAGCTTCTGTACAATCACGTATATGAAAGTTGTGTTATGCCATTTTGCATCACTGTTGTCATTTAAAGGTTTTTTGAACATCATTGTTTAAAGGATAAAAAGTTAGGTGTTAATCATCAGTTTGATGTAGGCTTAATTACATTTTTTTTAAGTAATTTTAACTAAATATTTGCATCTACAAAATTTATATTATGATTTATACTTGCATTGTGTCTGGAGATGTAAAACTTATTTTTTTGCATTTCCTAAAGATTCATTCTTATGTGAATAATGGCTGTGTAAAATTCTTTTGGTATTAACATTAAAAAGAATAATCCATTGAATATGTACCTTGTATTTTGAAGAAAGGTTTATTTTTTACACTGATAAATTTGTTGTAAACTTTAATGAAGATGAATTTAAAAAGAAACTGCCAAAATGAACAAACTATACTATAGTATACCAATAATAAAAATAAAAGAGTTAAGACAGAAGAACACAGGGTAATTTAATGAAGCCTGGTTTGCATCTGTTTAACTTACTAAATTTGTCTAGAATGTAATTTTTTGCTTGTGTTAGTATGGAGGTTGATTGTTATATGTACAACAAGTTAATGCAAAAATGTACGTAATGATTAATGATAGACGTATTGAAAGTTTATTGATCACTGTTATTGAGGTAGCAGAAGCTAAATATTCCTATATCAATACTAATTTTTTTTGTGCGAAATATCAAAACAATTTTTATAAGTAGAACAAATAACAGAAGCAAACAAAATCAATTTAAATTATAAACAGTGATGAAACATAATGTAAGTGCTGTTACTGATAAATATTTTTATTTTTTAACATTGTAAAATAATGTGTCTCTTAGGTTCTTTTAGTAAATCAGGGACTCAGTGCCTGTTGACTTGCACTTGTATGTATTGTTATGGTGAGCACATGTAAAATGATCTATGTGAAAACTATCTTATCATTTTCTAATTTTCATTCATTATAAAATTAATTATTGCATGCTCATTATTATTATTATATCATATTAGTATTTAATAATCTTTTATTCATAACACTTTGTGATATCTTCTGTATTTTTTTAACCTAATGAAATGTTTTAATGACTGCAATTTTTTTACTGTTTTTACATATAATCGTAATGCTACCTGATTATAAGCATTTGTGTGTTTGAGAATGGTGATGTAAATTTATAATTAGTGTTTTTTTTGTATTACTACATTAACCCAGCTTCTGCTATGTAATGGCTGAACTACCTTTGATTCTTAAACTGCACTCAATTATAGTATAGAATTTTGAAAGTTAAAGTAACAAGTTTTTCCCCCCCCCGTATTGAACAATACCTTTTAAGGATATATTAATATAGATTAAGTACATACATTTTTTATTGTTGTTGAAATTACATAAAAACTATTAAAATTGCTGCTTGATTCATATTTTGGAAAAAGGCACATGACAATTTCTAAGTATAAGAAATGCTTTTTTTGAAGGTATATTGATATTAGATTAGGTATATATAGTAATATTTTTTTATTATTGTTAAAATTTTATACAAAAATGCATTACTAAAATTTGGATTTGTTTTAGAGAACATTACAGAGGACAATTTTAAGTGTAAGAAAAGTTTACATCAATTTATTATATAGTTTTTTACATAAATCATAATGTACATTATAATGAGACAATGAAGCTGAAAATTAATGAGTATGAGTAAATAATTCGTATTTCATTTCTGATGCAAAAAATGGTAAATACCTGTATAAACTTATATTGTAGGGAGAAATATATTTATGTAAGCAAAACAAATTGGGGTCTAAGCTGACACAATATACTATTACTATCTACACATTGTATAAAACTTGTCATGTAATAAAGACCCTTTGCTTTACATCTTATTTGCAAACTTTAATGTTGTGTGTTTATGTATGTCATTGATATTCAAAAATGGTTTTAACTCTATGAAATTTAATTTTAGCTTGTGCACGTACTGTGTGTTTACCCATATATGTATAGAAAAATTAGTACTTAAACACTTGTATTTATACCAAAAAAATTCATGTTATTTCACTTAAACATATTTATAGATGAATGATAATTGCAAAATAGACTGTATGTCATTGTATCTCACAGTAACTCCTAATTTCTAACATTTTGAACTTCATGTGTTAAAAATTAGGAAAATTCACTTTCAGTAGACATAATATGTGCACTGTCAATTGTATTTCAGTTGGTAGTTTCACAGAATTTCTTTGAAATGTCAGTATAGTTTAGATGTTTACTTTATAAAGGGATTATAATCTTTTGAATTTTGTTGGATATCTTAAGGTTAAAAAAAATCTCAAACTTAATCTCATAATATTTTTTAAATCTTTTTTTCCTTAGTGTTTCTACATGATATGAAATTTTGATAAGACTAAACTAACTTACAAGAATATTCTTTACCATCCAGGAGTTTTCACTATAACCCATGTTTTAATCTTTGGTCCTATTTAAAATGTAGAAATTACACCATGTGCTTAAGATGAAATCAGAGTTGTATGGAATTTTATGTTTCAGTATATTTTGAACAGTTTTTGTTTTGTCTTTGTAAAATGTCACTAAAAATCAAGAAATTGCTATGGATAAGATCTAAAACAATGAAAAGGACTTTAGTATGGTGTGGTTGCAAAAATGGTATTCTATGTATATAAATAAAGTAAAAAACTTCCAAAGAGTACTGTATTCAGTCCTTTTTTAAATTACGTTGTTGTACTGTCAACAATTAGAATATTTTTTAATGAATTTTTATAGTTGAAAATGGCTTTTGGGGGAAGGCACAGTTTTCAGAAAAAGTTATTGGGTAGAATTATAAACTGGGTTTGTAAATACATTTGATTATGATTGACCAAAAACGAAACTCAAGTAGGATACCTATATTTTAAGACTTGGTGTACTAACTCAAGGGTTGTTAATATGGAACACTTTAAAAGTTTAAATTTTTGTTGCATGGTATTGAAATGAAAAACCTTAGTATATTGTAAACAGTTTTTCTTCTGTAGACAAATGGAATGTCACAGGAAAATATAAAATCTTAAAATGCAAATTTAAACATAATGTCTAGTTAAAAAAAAAACAAAAAAAACTAAATTTGGACCTAATCTTAATTCACATGTTTCTGATTTTGATGGAAAAGCAAAGTGTAGTGTATATTGCAAGAAGTTTCATTAAGGGTATGTTATCAAAAAAGACTGTATAACATATTAGTTACAATGTTTAACAATCTGATTTTAGGAGAACATAACAGACAAGACTCTATGGATCCTGATGATAAATGGAGCAATGAATGCCACTGTAACAGTTTGACTAATTTGAAGCCCTTAGAAAGGCGACGTCGGAGAGAACACCAGCGTTGTCAGGCACACTCTCTTGTTGGAACACCTAATTATATTGCTCCTGAGGTGCTCATGAGAACAGGTAGGTTTTAACTTTTTTTTTTAAAGAAATGCACTCGGATGTGGCTGTAGAATTTAACATCTAATTACCCCACTTTGTAAAACTATAGCCAACTAAGTATCTTGTAATCTGCGTGAGAAGATGTGTAGAAAATAAAAATCTGTATTTTAACCTACATGAGAGAAGTGCCTCACACCATTAGAAAGTTATGCAATTATCCTTAGTAGTGTTGTTGTAGTTACTGGTTAAGTTAGGACAATCCATATATAATTGTGGCCACCAGTCAAAGTGTCTGACAAAGCAGTAGAAATATTAAGTAGTATTTATATTATATAATTACCAAAGCAGATAGTTGCATTCTTTTTTTTAATATTCTAGAATTCATTTTAATTATTATAAATACAGCTGGTTGAAAGGCACATTAAATGGGTTAAAAATTGGAAAAGCAACTTTTGAGAGAGCTACAGTTTCCTTTGGTTTTACAATTTGAAATTCTTTAAGATTTATTTAATGCAAAATGGACCATGAAAATTTATAGTTTAGTAAAAAGATGATTCAGTGATTTTTTTCCATTGACATATAAATAAAATGTTTAAATTGTATCAAAGATATATATATGTATTGTTTACTTGTCATAATATATATAGAAGAGTACTTAATCCAGATACCACTTCATTAAATAATAACTACCGTACAGTAATAATTCTTCTGGTGGTGTGTGTCTGACACTACATTCCATGATCAAATAACAGTTGGCAAGTGTGTTATCTGAAAATGTTCCAAGTACCTTTTGCTGTTATCTCTCCTACCAATGTTAGTCAGTCCTGTGAATCCATTCTACCCAAGTGGCACCTCTTCCACATTGGCAGTGCATGTAACAAACTTGTTGTCATAGTTATTGATAAACAGACACTGTAAGGTGACCACAGTCAATATACCTTAACCCTCTTGATTTTATTAATCTTTAAATTAGTGTACCAGCTCTTCTTTACAAGCCAGTATTTAGTAAGAGATGTTATCACATTAGAGCTTATTGCATCTTGAAATATTATTCCCAGAAAGTTAATTGGCTTGATGTTAAACTTCTAGTGACTAAAGCAACATTTTTATATCGCTTTAAGTTGCAGTGATTGAATATTTGAAATGATGTTTTGAGTGATTACAGGGTAACTGATAATTCACAAATTTACAGTAATAAGAATGTAAACACACACACCCTTTGCCAAGATATATATATATATATATATGTTCTTTCCATGTTAGAAAAGCATTTTATCTATTTTATCAAGTCATATACAACTTTGTATAAACATAACCTGTGGTGTGAACATGCGTGTATGTATATACCCAAGGTAAAGATTGATTCAAAAATCAAAACTGAGTTGAGATATTAATTTTTTGGCAGAAACCTGTTTCTGTAGACATTTGTCAGTTTTCTAAATTCAATTTCTTCAGTTTTCAAAAGAAATTTAATGTGCCCTGTGGTAACAAATGTTAGGTAATGGATGTGTGCAAGTATTTCTAGTTTAAAGGTGAGAATTGTAGGTCTTGAAATATAATGATTATATACAGAGAAGACAATTGGCCTCCATTTCTATTGTCAAATTGGTCATATACCCAACATGTTCAAATCAGGTGAGAAAAATGTTTTGGTAGTGGTGGTGGTTACTGTCTTGCAAGGGCTACATTTAAGAAAAATCTAAATTTGTATTTATAATATTAAGATTAGTAATGGGATGGGTATAAGCCTACGACCGATCTCCGTATTGTTTTTCTGATCCAATTTTTAAGAAGATTGGACTGGTAAGTTTGTTTACCTATGAAAATATGCAATACATTCAGGTGCTTCATGATGGAAAGAGCGCAGTGTATCCTCAAATTAGGATTTGTTTAAAGGTTTACAGGAAAATAAATGTAAGAGGAGATGTTATTGAACTTCATCGAATATATATTTGATTTGTATTCCAATGAAAATATGTCCTTTTTATAGTCTGATAAGTGCAAGATTTAATTGAAAATGAGTTCTGAAGCTTTACGTATGCCACTAGTTTATATATATTTTAAGGATGTCCAGTCACGTGAAACACACAAATGCAGATTGTAAAAGTCTGATTTCAACATCAGCTGATCTTGGGCATATTGGCACTGATCCAATATTTCACTCAGGTCGCAGGCCTAGGTAAATACCAAACACTAGAACTGTTAGGCTTTATCTAAAATTACCTTATCTGCTTCGATGTTTACTCTAAACTGAAACTGGTATGTGAGACTCCTCTCAATTAACCAGCTGATTAACAGTCAGCCAGCTAATCACAAGATGTCTTTTGAAGCTGAAGGTATCCAAACACCTTGTCAATGTACAAACTCCTTAAAGTGTAAAGGTACATGATCAAAAAAGGATAAGCACAGAGGTAGGCTTTAAATCTTTTGACATCCACCTTAATGGTGTGTGCTTTTTGCCCATTTGTGTAGAATGACACAGGGTAGAGATTTTTCTTACATCAGACATTATTTTTATGTTTTTAATAGTTTAGATGTAGCCTAAATTAGACAGCCATGATCCGGTGAAAGTTGGAAGAGTAGATATATGACAAAATTCTCTAATTAATAACTTTTTGTTACAGACTAAAACAAGTTAAATGTCACAGATTTTTAAATTATTTTCATTCTTATAAGTCCAATTTTCATTGATCCAAAGAATCTGGTTATGTATTACAATACAGAATTTATAGATCACAAAGTATTACAGTAATTTGATAACATTGATTCATGTTTAGTATAGATTGTGAAGTCAGATAGCTTATTACTAAAAACTTTTGTTTTATGATATAAATCTTGGTAAGACATACTTATACTTGTATGTATGCAAGTCTGAAATTCTGGTCAACAAATTTTATAAAGGGAAAAAACATTACAACAAACTATTGTGTTTTACTGAGCTAATACATTATCATGCCTCTTTTATTGGCCAAAATGTACAGAAAAAGTGGCTATAACAATGCATGCAAGGTCCACCATGCATCAATTTGCTTTAGAACTGAATAGAAAAATTAACTTAGTAGGATAGGAAGAGATTCATGCATAGTATTCTGTATCTGCCTTTTCATTGGCTCAGTTTTAAAGGGTTAGTAATTTACCCCTGTGAAATTGATTTGTACAAATATTGCCTCAGTATTCTGTGAAATGACCAGTTTGATCATTAGAACACGAGATAAAGTGGCACAAGTTAGTAATAGTCTTGTGTTTACTGTTCATCCTAGAAGTGAGTAGTGTGAATATTTAGTGCACCAGAGCATGTAGACCACTCTCACTAAAAGTTTCATTTGCTGTTCTCATCTCTGTTTGTATGAATAATTTTGTGAAATGACCAGTTTGATCATTAGAACACGAGATAAAGTGGCACAAGTTAGTAATAGTCTTGTGTTTACTGTTCATCCTAGAAGTGAGTAGTGTGAATATTTAGTGCACCAGAGCATGTAGACCACTCTCACTAAATGTTTCATTTGCTGTTCTCATCTCTGTCTGTATGAATAATTTTGTGAAAAGTATGTAACAAATTGAATTTAACACACCATCATATCCTTTACCTAATTAGGCTAAAAGCAAAAGTGTCATGTATAAAAGATAGGTAAATAATGTTACAGTACAAACTGCAATGTTGGAAAAGTAAAATCCACTGTATCAGATGTAATCCTGATTTTACATGTAAAATGAATATTAAGAGCAGTTGTGAGTGTTCAAGTACACAATATTCTACATCTAAAATAAACTTTCACGGTTGAAAGCAGTATTTATTATAAATTTGGAAACTGGTAAGATCTTTTGTATTTATAAAACTAATCATAGTCATGTAATTAAACATATTAAAACTTCACTTTTGCTTTTAGTTAAACTATTTCATTATCATTTGATACCCAGAAGTCATGAATATTATGATGTTTATTTACGTTTATCATAAATGTTTCATTGTATTAAACTGTATTACGTACTCGTATGATTTTTGATTTACCAGTAATTTTATAATTTCAGTTTTATTCATTAAAAAAATATTTCTCAGTTATTGTTGATTTTATAAAAAAAAAAAACTAATCAACAGTTTGAATAATATTTAATGGGTAATTTTCCTTACATAAAAGTAACCCTTCCTCTGGTGTGTTTATGGAACATTCTGTTGCTTGGAGCCAAATAAAAAGTTCCTTGCTAACTTCTTCAATGAATTACACCAATAACTAAATGTGCATTTTTTCATTTCATAATTAGGTTTAAAAGAAGTAACATTACACTGAAACTTCACAATTTTGCTATAAGAGTAACATTCTAACAAAACTAATTCACTCAAAGTTCCAACCAAGAATCAGGGACCTCGCCTAGTTACTTTTTACCAGGTGAAACAACAACCAAAAATATCCTGATGTGTTATTCATTATCTAACTCCACTCAAACAGATAATTTGAAAAGTACATAATTTCCTGGTCAAAACAATTAATTTCATACCCACAAACCATAAGTTAGTGAGAATACAAAGTAAATTACAACAGGAAAGAAAAAAGAGACAACATATATGTATGCTAAAATTATGTTTAGTGAAATAAGTCACCCGAGAGTAATTTCTACTTATGTAAAAATATTATAAAGATAATATGAAAATTAAAACTACAGAATTAATTAAAGACTTGAAGAAAAGTTTATTGTAATAATCTGGTAAGATACGTGCATCATAGGACTATTCATGTGACATTAGTCTGGCTTTAAATGTCAGTTAAGCAAGTTCACATGCTTGATTTGTTTGTTACATAAAGGTGATTTAATAGCATGTTTAATCAAGCTGAAAGGTTGATTAACTGTGTCTTACTTTCCAGGGTATACACAACTGTGTGACTGGTGGAGCGTAGGAGTAATTCTATATGAGATGGTTGTTGGACAACCACCTTTCTTAGCAAATAATCCAGGAGAGACACAATATAAGGTAACTAATACTGTGGTGGATTCAGAGATCATAATTAGTAATGTACACTAATAATCCATAGTATTTAATGATAAATGTTAAAGTAGTCTGGGCATCAGACCAACTAAATAGATTTGTGTTTTTCTCAGTTAAAGTAAGTAACAAGTCAAATATTATTAGGGTGAATCATAAGTGTATTTTCTTCTATTCAGAATACCTTTGAGGAGGGTAAATTAATGATATCTGCACAGTATCTACAACACTAAATATTTAAGGTTATTACAACAGAAGTAATAACCCATATTAACTTTTTTTTGTTTGGATAAAATTTTGTTATAATTTTAAGGAAGTGAAAACCAGAAACTGCATTGAATTGAACCATATTGTTTTCAGGACATAATTGTCACAATTCTTAGTTATGTTAATTTGTTATTCTCATTAGGTTATTAACTGGGAGAAGTGTCTTCACATCCCTCGAGCAGCAAATCTTTCAGTAGAAGCTACCGACTTGATACTGAAGTTGTGCTGTGGTCCTGACAAGCGACTTGGCAAAAACAGTGCTGATGAAATTAAAGCACACCAGTTTTTTAAAGATATAAACTTCAAGAGTGGTCTGCGAAAACAGGGAGCTCCATATATGCCACGCATTAGGTATCCAACAGATACATCCAACTTTGATCCAGTGGATCCAGACAAACTCCGCAGCTCAGGATCTAGCGGAGACAGTAAATCTGAGGATGGATATGAAAATGGAAAACATCCAGAACATGCATTCTTTGAGTTTACTTTTAGACGATTTTTTGATGATGGTGGTCAAGCTTATCCTGTAAGAATTAACACAGATGAGAATGAGAACCAGGGGTCTCCTGTGTATGTGTGATAACACCATATCTATAGCCAGTGACAAACCACTTAGATCTCAGTAGGATGTGTAGTAAATATGGCTTTTAAAATTATCCTAGGCTTTTTTGCCCCAGTCCCACCTTGAAAGTTATTTATTCAGAACTAAAAGTGTGCTTTGATTATAGGTGGGTATATGTTGTTGTAGAATGTGCTTTATTTTTGTACTGTACAGTAGCTGCAAGCACTTGACTGTACCCTGTACATACTGTAAGTAGCAGCATTTGCCACTGTAAATATTGGCCATGGTGTACAGGCTATGTAATAAAATCATTCCTTGACAAATTAAACATTTATTTGTACATATCTGTTCAAGCACTTACAATCAAAAATGTAAACACACACAGCTAGTAATTTTAGTTTCTCTTTTCATTGCCATTTTATGGATGTGAAGATAGGAGAAAAAACTGTACAGTAAACATGGCTGTATCCTTGAATTGGTTGGATAAAACCTTTTATTGTGTTTTTCTAATGACTAAAGTGCAGATATATATATATATATATATAGCTTTTGTTAAAAATTCTTAAGTTTAGCCAGATGTTTCCAATTCATAAGGAACAACTGTGTACAAAAATTTCTATAATAAGGACACCACATAACTGTGACAATAGTAATCTTAAAATATATATTTTTTTCTGCTACCAGGTTTGAAAGAAAAGGTTATTTTTAAATTCTATAATCCATCTAAATACATTAATATCCAAAATGACTAGATAATAACAAATGTGTGCTTTATCACAAGAAAACTTGGATGGATTATTTAGCAACCTGGTGAATACACACCTATAAAAAAAAAAAAAAAGGGTTAGTTTGCTGTAGAATAAGAATACAAGCATAAACATCCTAATTTTGTTAAGACCGAAGATTTAAAATATGTACTTCAATAGAGTATTTGGAAGTGAAATAACTAGGCACTTCTATAACTATTGAAAATTAAATATAAAACATCTTTAGTGAGTATAACTAACCAGCAAGGTGATAGTTAAGAATATTCTATGTACAATAACCTAATAAATATATATAGTCATAAAACGAAATGATTCCAAAACATGTATAAAAACTGGTCTCAAAAACTTTCATTGACTAGTTGTGGGTTGTCAAGTCTGTCCAAAACTCCACAGGCAGTCAGTGACAATTTTATCTGTAGCTACATCCTATGTTTATAACAAGTGATTAGACACTGTTACAAACAGGAAAAATTGTTTGTTCCGGTTGTTTTTAATTTTGCACAAAGCTACAGGGCTGTCCATACTAGCCATGATAGACTAGAAGAAAGACAGCTAGTCAACACCAACTCTTGGGTTACTCTTTTTTTTTTTTTTTAATACCAGAGTGAGCCAAATTCAGCTTAATTCACAGTCTGATGGTCTTCAATACAGTATTAATAATTATACTATTACTTCATTAAAAGTTTCAACATTTATACAAGAAAAGGGACTGTTTTCCTTAGAACATAGTAAACACATTTTATTGGTAACAATAGATCTCTAACATTTACTAACACTTGCTCTATTCTGGTAGTAGGTCATCTCCCAGTTCTTCATTATCAAATTCATCATCATCTGCATCTTTTTTTCGTGCAGCAGTTTTTGGTCTTTCCTCCATTGGGCCCAAGGGATCATCATATGTTGTATCTATGGAACAAATATTTTTTATTTAGTAAAATTATGCAACAATTTACAAATAGACTTTCAAAGCTGCTTCAAGCAATAATAGGATGCTAATAAACTTACTGACCACGTTATTCAGTTACATTCAAAAACAGTATCAGGGAATAGTAGTCTCGCAAGTGGATAAGAATTTTATGAGAAGTTAGTCATCTTAATAAGCTTTTGAAAAGCCTCTTACTTTAAAGCAAGTAGGTGGGTTTAAATCAGTTTCTTTAACATGTGTAGTTTTGAATCTTTAGCGGTATGATAATGATTTCAAAGTTTAAACAACTGCTTGTGACACACCGAAGTTTTTGCTGAGAAAACAATGTACACAAAACACTAACTTTTTCAAGACTTGTCATCTACAAAGATACCTATAAAACCATTAAAATGTTAATCTAAATATTATTAACAATTACTTAATCTTTTTAATAGGCAATTACATATATTGAATGTAAATGTAACTTTGGATTGGTATGATACTGTACAGTCTTTGAAATAAACTAAACAGTTTACTAATCTTTATTCACAGAGAAAGAACATTTTTTGAATGACTGTTAAATTACTTACTTTTCTGCCTTTGAAAATAAATAGTTTACGCATGTTGAGTTTAAGAAGTTAATATCACCATGAAAAAGCAACAAATGGAATGTGTCATAAAGCTTCAGTACCATATTTTTGAAAATTTTCAAAATATAAGTACACACTTTAATTGTTTTAGGGATAAGCCCAATTTGAGAAAAAAATCTAACTCTCTGAAATATTTCAGAAACAAATAATAAGGTTAATTGAATGTCACCTCTATATACTTATTGAGCAAAACATACAATTAAATGAATAAAATACTATCATCCTAAATTAAGTTTTTCAGTTCTTATACTGGCTAAAAATGGTAAGAAAAGGCACATATATTAATACAAGAAATAAATAGCCTTATAACACCAAAACGTTTTTATTTAATTAGACACTCAACGTTTCGCTTTACAGCTTCTTCAGGAGCGTTCACTAAAACTGAAACTGACAGTAAAGCGAAATGTTGTGTGTCTAAATAAAAACAACACTTTGGTGTTATAAGATCATTTATTTCCAATATTAACCCTTTTGATATGGGTCACAGGTGAAAGGTCATGTCATCTCTTTTGTTCACTCGCATTCAAAATTTTATTGAACTACTATATCATGAATTTATGTCAATAAGTTTGGTATCAACCTGTAGATTATAATTCAAATTTTCGTAACTTAAAAGCAAATATTAAAAAAAAATATTTTTGTGTGGCATGTTGAATGTAGCATTGGTTCAAATTAGATTTTTGTGAAGTCAAAATACTAAGTCTGTAATTTCAAATGAATTAGAAACTCAAATTACTTGTATTGACAAGCTAGAATATAAAATAAGAGCCTCTTTTCACTTTGCTAAGATATTGCTTATGTA